CTGACCTTGCATTCAGTAAATGTAAGTGTTTTTTAAATGAGTGAATGGTGAATGAATGACAAGGAAAGAAGACGGGGCCTGTCCTGCTCTCTCACTTCATAAACGATAAACAATAACAGGATGTTTCATACTTGACATTTCACTTCCTTCTGGGGAACTGTGAAATAGCTCATGGACCAAAGAGGGAGGAGACATAAAGAGGGGCCAGCATGTTTTCCCATCATTCCCAGAGTGCTGAGCATTGATCACTATGTCCTGGTAAAGATCTCACAATGTGTTAGTTGGGAGACCAGAATCCAAAGCTGACTTCATCTTCTAATCTGCCAATGGCTTTCTCCTCCTTTTCCCTCTCCACATCTCTCTGTGAAATCCCAGGTGTGAAAAAAAAAAAAAGATTTATTTCACTGAGAGTAAATAGAAGCCATTGGCTTTTTTTTTTGTTTTTTAACAGATTGGTTTTTTTGTTGTTGTTTTTCTTACATTAGCCAATTATAAAATATGGAGTACAAAAATCAAGAAGATAACAGTTACTGCTATTTGGTATTATTTGTTTTACCTATTGAACAGAAAAACTGGTTCTAATTACATCACGAGTAAAACCAAGTAAAATGTATACAATTTGAATGTCTTTCTGGGGAGTGGGCATGTTATCGTCCCAGTCAGAAATCTAATAAATAAAGATTACCATTAACCTGTTGGCCATATTGAGCATGAACACATTTATGGTGATGTGAAAGTAAATGTCATAAGAAGAAAAGATGTGCCTATGGAACAACTAACTCAGATTTGTGGTTTGTAGGAGGTTCTTCCATTTTAATATGTTGATTAATTACTAGTTTCGCTTGTTGTTCTTCCTGGAAGCCATAAGTAGAGATTTGGCCTTTCCATGAAAATACAGTGGGGCAACAGATCAGCAAAGACCTTAAAGATAATTAAGACTACATTCTCTCTCTTTACCAATACTGAATATGAGGCCTGGGAAGTTGAGGTGACTATATATATGTGTATGTATCATATCGTGTCATGTCACATCATATTATGTCTGTCTATCTGGATCATATATATATATATTGTTCTTAAGTGCCTTGGAGTCAGTTCCTACTCATAAGGATCCTGTATAGGGTTTCCAAGGAGGACTGGTGGGCTTCAATAACAACCCGCGGTTAGTGGTCCAGTGCTTATCCTGCAGTGCCACAGGACTCTGCATCGTTCTACTGTTGTTGTTGTCATGCTATGTTGAGTCGATTCTGAATCATAGCAACCCTGTATAGGATTTCCGAGGAACAACTGGTTAGTTTGAAGCACCGACCTTGCAGTTCGAACCGACCTTGCAGTCCAGTGTTTATCCATCATCACCACACCAGGACTCGAAAGTTATGAGTAACATGACCTCCACCTTGTATCTCTGTACCTGCTAGAGTATGAGTAATTTACTGCTATTGCTAATCTCTAGACTGCCTCACCATTATTATTTCCATTTTATTTATTCAAATACCTATGGAACTTGTTCACCATATTAAATTTATTCTGTTGTGCTTGATGTGGACTCTAGTGCCTAATTGATACACTCTACATGTCAAGTATTATAATAAAATGTGCAAAGACCTGGAATTAGAAAACCAAAAGGGAAGACGACACTCAGCATTTCTTAAGCTAAGGGAACTGAAGAAAAACTGAAGCCTCGACTTGAAATACTGAAGGATTCTGTGAGCAAAATATTGAATGTTGCAGAAAGCATCAGAAGAGATGGAAGGAATGCACAGAATCACTGTACCAAAAAAGAAATAGTCGATGTTCAACCATTACAAGAGGTAGCATATAATCAAGAGTCAATGGTACTGAAGGAAGAAGTGTAAAACGCACAGAAAGCATTGGCAAAGAACAGACTCTGGGATTGATGGAATACAAATTGAATTCTTTCAACAAAAAGATGCAGCACTATGCCAAGAAATTTGCAAGACAGCTACCTGGCCAACTGATCGGAAGAGATCCATATTTGTGCCCATTCCAAAGAGAGGTGACCCAACAAAATGTGGAAATCATCAGACAATATCATTAGTATCACATGCAAGTAAAATTTTACTAAAAGTAATTCAAAAATGACTGCAACAGTACATTGAGAGGAAACTGCCAGAGGTTCTAGTTGATTTCAGACAAGGACGTGTAATAAGAGAAATCATTGCTTATGTCATTTGGATCTTGGCCAAAAGCAGAAAATACCAGAAAGGTATTTATCTGTGTTTATTGGCTATGCAAAGGTTTTCAACTGTGTAGCTATTGACAAGATATAGGTATTCTGGAACACTTAAATGTGCTCATGAGGAACCTGCACATAGACTAAGAGGCAGTTGTTTGAACCAAGCGGCAGGGGACACAGAATGGTTTAAAATCAGGTAAGTTGTGTGCCAGGGTGGTATTCTTTTACCATACTCATTCAGTCTGTATGCTGAGCAAATAATCCAAGATACTGGCTTCTATGGAGAAGAATGTGGCATCAGGATTGGAGGAAGACTCTTCAACAACCTGTGATATACAAATGATATAATATTTCTTGTTGAGAGTGAAGAAGACTTAAAATACTTACTGATGAAAATCAGAGACCACAACCTTCAGTATGTAAAGAAAATAAAAATCCTCACTACTGGACCAATATATGTTAAGTGCTGTCCAGTCGATTCCGACCCATAGTGACCCTGTATAGTGTTTCTGAGGAGCAGCTGGTGAGCTTGAACCGCCAACCTTGCAGGTCAAACGGCTTTGCAGTCTGGCGCATTAACCCACAGTGCTACACCAAGACTCTGGGCCAATATACAACATCATGATAAATGAAGAAAAGACTGAAGTTGTAAAAGACTTCATTTTGCTTGTATCCACTGTCAACACTCATGGAAGCAGTAGTCAAGAAAACATGTGACATATTGCATTTGGCAGATCTGCTGCACAAGACCTCTTTTAAAATATATTCAAGAGCAAAGATGTCAGTTTGAGGACTAAGGTGCTTCTGACCAAAACCATGGTATTTTCATTAGCCTCATATGCATGTGAAAGTTTGACAGTGGTTATGCTGGGTAAGATGGAGGGTCAGAGAAAAAGAGGAAGACCCCCAACGAGATGGATCAGCCAGGTGGCATCATTGATGGCATCAAGTGTGGCAGCAGTAGTGAGGTTGGCCCAGGATTGGACATTGTTTCGTTCTGCTGTGCATGAGGTCGCTATGAGTTGGTTCTGACTCGATGGCACTTGACAACAAACAACAACAAGACCTTAGAAGAATTGTTGCATTTGAGTTATGCTGTTGAAAAAGACTATTAAAAGAACAATGGACTGCTAGAAGCTCATACAAATCTTTGTTAAAAGAAGTACAGCCAGAATACTCCTTAGAAGCAGGATGGTGAGACGTCATCTCTCATAATTCAGATATATTATCAGGATGGACCAGTTTCTGGAGAAGAACACCATGCTTGGTAAACTAGAGGGTCAGTGAAAAACAGGAAGACCCTCGATGAGATGGACTGGCACAGCGGAAGCAGCAGTGGGCTCAAGAATAATTGTGAGGATGACACAGGACCTGCCGGTGATTCATTCTTGGGCATTAGGTCATTATGAGTTGGAACCAACTCGACAGCACCTAACAAAAACAACAATATAGCTATAAATGTAGATTTTGTAAGAGAATCCCTGGTGGCACAGAAGTTCAGTGCACGGCTGCTAACTGAAAGATGGGTGTTTCAAACCCGCCAGCTGTTCTACATGAGATAGATGTGGCTGTCTGCTTCCATAAAGATGACAGCCGAGGAAAACCCATGGAGCACTTGTACTCTGCTCTGTAAGGTCAGTATGAGTCAAGACACTATGGGACTCGATGCTGATGGGTAACTGCAGCTGTTATGTTATTGTCAGTTAAAAAATAATTCACTTCATTTGTTGTGTCATGTTGATCAATTATTTGAAAACCCTAAAAGGACAGCAAGTTGGTCAGTTAGATGCATTGCTAAAGTCCATTAACAAGCTAATGTCCATCTAAGAACAGCAAATCAGCAAATTGCAGCAAGACTTGCATTTCCACTCTGAATTTAATCATGTTCATGTGGCTGACTTTGCTGTGCTCACAAAACAAGCTATTAACACACTCAAATATCGATTGACCTGGCAAGGTGATTAACTGTAATGGCACACGGATTTCTACCCCCCTCCCTCTAATTTTACTTTCTGGAGTTTTAAATAATATGCTTAGAATGTTTAAGACAGCTTGATTAGTAGAATGAAAGAAAGACCTATCTGACTCACCAGTTATACTTGTGAAATCACCCCTCTTCTCCAAGTCTCAAATTGCATATCCCTACTGGGCATGTCTTCTTGGATGATATTTGTTATTGTTGTTAAGTGCCAACTCATAGCAACCCTGTACAGGGTTTTCTAGGAGTCGCTAGTGAATTTGAACTGCTGACCTTGTGGTTTGCAGTCCAGTTCTGATCTTACAGCACCACACCAGAAAATTCAACATGTTTAACTAAGAATTTTTTTATTTCTCTTGAAAACTGGTCTACCATCTCACCAAATGGTGTGATGCTTCACCATTTCGTGTGATAGTCAGACCCATGGATATCATTGATGTGCTCCTTCCCCTCACGGTCTATATCCAGTCCATCACCAGATCTTGTTGAGTCTGCAGAAGCCTGCCTGGCCATGTCTCTCTTGCTGTTCCAAGCAAACTCACTAGCATCTCTCAGTGCCTACACTTGTAATTGGACTCCACCTCCCATACTTTTTTACCTCTCATCCTCACAGAGTAGTCAAACTCATCCTTAAAGTCAGATTATGTTAAACTCTTGCTACAAAACTCTTAATGGCTTCTCACTGCAACTAGAATAAAATGGAAATTGCTTTCCAAGACCTACAAAGCACTGCATAATCTGCCCTCCTTTAATTTCCAACCTCATCGCATAACTCCGTCCATTCTATTCACTCTTGTCAGTTACTCAGGCCTCTGCAGTTCCTGGGACACACCAGGTCCTCTTCCGTCTTTTCATTTGCTTTGCGTTTCCTGGTGTGAAGCTGTGTGTTAATACGCTGGACTACAAGGATGGTTTAAACCACAACTGTCAATGGTTCAAGCTCCTTGGAAACCCTATACGGGGTCACTTTGAGTCGGAACTGACTTGATGGCACTTAGCAACAACAGCAACAACATGCCAAAAATTTTTTCCACTTGCTCCTCCCTTTTAGTCCTTCAGTATTCAAGGTAAATATCTCCTCCACCTTTCCTAAAGTTGATTGGTTGGTTGTTATGTGCCGTGGAGTCGGTTCCGACTCATAGTGACCGGCATAGGGTTTCCAAGGCTGTAAATCTTTACGGGAGCAGAAAGCCTCATCTTCCTCCCTCGGAGCAGCTGGTAGTTTCGAACTGCTGACGGTGGGATTAGCAGCCTGATTCATAACCACTACGTAGGGCCCCGAATTACTATCTATAAAAGAAACTCCTTTCGTTCTTTGAGGCATGAATACCAATCTGCCGTCATTTAACTCAGTTTCTTGTCTGTTTACCTTGGTATTCCTAGTCAATAGCAGAGTACCTGGGACATAGTAGGTACTCAATGAATGAACAGTTGAATAAGTGAGTGTCTATGAAACATCAGAACCCATCGTGAGAGTCTGGTGTGATAGGTAAAGTGATGGAGGCGTAGGATTCCGTTAACTTTCTAGCCCACTTACTATGTAATCCAAATCAGTGATGCTTTCATATAAAAGGCTCTGGTGTCTGGACTACGTTCTGATCACGTTTGATTTATTAGTAGATTCACTTAAAGTTTGTTCCAAGTCTGTTAATCGCAGGTGCCATAAAGGAACTTAATTATTTTTATGTCTTTTCATGTATTGTTGTTGGTAAGTATCGTGGAGTCAGTTCTGATTCATAGTGACCCTGTAAAGGGTTTCTGAGATGCAGCTGGTGAGCTTGAACTGCCAACCTTGCGATTCAAACTCACCTTGTAGTCCAGTGCATTTACCCACAGCGCCACACCATGTACTAATCATAGATTTTAGTATTGAACTTTTAGTCACTTGGTTATAAGGAGAATGAAACTCAAGAACAGGAAAATTGATTACTTTTAGAGAATTAAAACTAATGGTGAATCAATGAACAATTTGTATCACTATAACTCATGTAAGGAACTTTCATTACTAGAATTGGGAAGTGGCTATTCCATTTTTCTCTTGGGGTATTTCTGCCACACTAGAGGGGGCTGTTGTACTGAGTTTTCATTTTTAATGTTTAAAATAATTTATATATATGTGTCTGGTGTGGTTTTCCTTAAACTTAGGATAGAATGATGATTTTTACCCATAAATACTTTTCATATGGGCAAATCAGATTTTCTCTTTTGAGGGGTTAAGGGTTTATTGTCCGAGAAACTGAATGTTATTCCATGGACCTGTCATATCAAAATTCACAGAATTCAGAGGAAGTACACACTGGACTCATTTCATGAAGGATTCCTTTGGAAAGGTTATTTTTATTGTAGTCAGCGCTCATATAACACCTCAGTTGTATTAGGTATGCTTATTCCATGCCATTTTTTTTAAGGTGGATAAATTAGTATTGCTTTTCTGCATTTTGGCTGTATTGACATTGAGGAAAAGATGAGCTTAAGTTTAAATAGCTTTAATCCCTGCTTGGGAGCCTACAATATTAAGTATTCATGAAATTAATATTTAAAATTGTGTATCTAGGCATAATTGTATATAAAAGGACAGAAATTAAGAGGCTGAGAGACTTGCTAGATTGTATTTTAAAGGCTTTTTATTTTCTTTCAGTTTTGCAAAGCCTAGCAATTTTTAGACGGTCTATAACATATTTAAGGAGCTCTGATAGTGTAGTGGTTACGAATCAGGCTGCTAACCTCAAGGTCGGCAGTTCGAAACTACCAGCTGTTCTGCGATAGAAAGATGAGGCTTTCTGCTCCCGTAAAGATTTGCAGCCTCGGAAACCCTGTGCAGGGTCACTATGAGTTGGAAATGACTCCACGGTACTTAACAACAACAACATAACGTATTTACCTAACTTTTTTTATACAACAGCAGATCCCCTATGTGATTGTTCATGGTATAAAGGTAAGGTGATAGAAAGGTAGGGCACTGTGTTGGGGCCAGGATTCCCAGATCTGAAAGCAGTTGATAGATCATCTCATGTTCAGGGCAATGATGTGATTATACAAGTTACACAGGTAGTATTCTAAGTCAGCATTTGGACTCCAAGTGCAGAGCTCTTTTCTATGTAAACCCTTCAATTTTAAGGAGTAGGTAGTCATTCATCATTGTGAGTAATCCATAGTACTAAATAGAAAAGAGATTAAAAAATACATGGATATCAAAAGTTAATAACCGTATAGTTGAATTCTAATTTAGGAGCCTCCACCCAGCATCCTGACATAATAGCCACTAAGAGGCACTCCTTCCTAGAAAAAAATATTAAGTAACAGATATGTGGGGGAAAGTAGGCAGTTCATTTTTCACAAGCAATTTTATTTTTTATGTTTTAGCTATGTATCCACCAATAATAGACATCAGCCAATACATTGAAAGAAAAATAATAATTTGTGAATGATAAATGGTGTATTCTAGTCCCCTTCTTTCACCTATTGTGGATCCTAAAAATGCCCTGACATCATCCTGTCTTTGCTCTTCCCCCACAGGACTGCTCTATGTTGGCTTTAGTGCCTGCATGTTTGGTCTGTACAGCTTTATGCCTGTCGTCATAAAGAAAACCAGCGCCACTTCTGTGAATCTCTCCCTGCTCACAGCCGATTTGTACACTCTGTTCTGTGGATTGTTTCTCTTTCACTATAAGGTAAGTTGAGTTAGGACTCCTTAAGGACTATGCAGAGATGATACTTGTTAGGAAACAAAGCCGTGCATATAGGCAGGGATGTCCTGATGCAGAATTCCCTAGTTTTATACAGAGTCAGAGCACTCAACTCTGCTCTGTAACCACTCAATGTTTCAGGGATTCACATTTCAAGCATAAGACCAAGGCAGCACTTCATCACAAGAGGTCAGTAACTGCAGGCACCTGGTAGTGAAAAATCAAATCTAGACAAAGAAGAAAAGCTTTTGAATTTGGGGCACAGTTTTCAGACACTATTCAATCTAGAAGCTACTCTTTGTCCAGCCAAAAGCTCAGAAAACTTGTAAAAGTCCCAAAATGAAACCACAAAATGGATTCTGCCAAAGCCATTGGCAGAGTATGACCTCATCGGAGAAAGGAGAGTTCTTGTAGTTTCCTCAAAAATGAATAGGAAATGCTAATGCATTAGAAAGAGCTTCTTTACTTAAAGATTGGGGTTTTAGTAAAAGACTGCAAAGAGCTATGGTGACATATTTGCAGTTAATTTATCAGCCCTCAAAGAAAGGAAGAAACCATTTAGGGCAAAGACAGCAGTCTCTTAGAATGCAAGATTCTACCTCCTCATCATTACCTAAGGTAGGTGTTTATTGTGGCACACTGAGATCAAGTGCATCTTTAAAAAAGCAGTCACTTCAGCTGTTAGCAATCTCTGAGAAGCGGTGTATTAGAAACAACCCATCTGCCATTCCTTAACCGATCCTTTAAGATAAGGGTCAATAGAGTGGTGTTGCCAGAGGAATGCAGTGGTGCAGAGGACACCAGGCAACACTGTCAGAGGAGGTAACATCAAAGTTGTTGTTGCAATGCATCATGTGACTTCTTGGCTGCTGCATGCATAGTTTTTCTTGTTGTTAAGCCTTCAAGTCAGTTCTGACTCATAGCGACCCTATATAGAGTTTCCAAGAAACAGCTGGTGAGCCTGAACTGTCGATCTTGAAGTTCAAATCAACTTTGCAGTCCAGCTCATTATTGTTGTTATTGTTGTTACGTGCCATCAAGCTGGTTCCGACTCATAGCGACCCTGTTTAAGGTTTCTGAGAAGCATCTGGTTACTGGCCATAAAATTTTTGTGCAGTGTTTCAGCAGAAATGTATTGTTTTTTTTTTAATAAAACTATTCCTGTAGTTAGGAGTCCTGGTGTGGCTTGGTGCTGTGGGTTAATGCGCTGGACTGCAAGCTTGCTTTGAACCGCAAGGTCGGCGGTCCAAGCTCATCAGCCACTCCTCAGAAACCTGATACAGGGTTGCTATGGGTTGGACGACTCGAGGGCACTTAACAATAACAACAACAAATGCCTGTAGTTTAAAAATATCCTGAATTGTGAGGATGACGCAGTATCACACTGTGTTTTGTTCTGTTGTGTATAAGGTCACTGTGAGTTGGAATCAACATGATGGCACCTAACTACAACAACATCATCCCTGTAGTTAGTTATTACAGCAAAAATAGTTTTCATAAGCCTAGTTTATATGTATCAATATTCCCACAAAGCTACATTTTAAAGCTTCTAATGTGCCCTGGTCAGAGCTGTCATTATCAAATTATAATGAAGTTTCAAACCACGTGGTGCCATCTGCATACACTACAAGCACATGCTGTTGCTTTCGTTACTGCCTGTGTTTTTTCATAGTAACTGATTTTGTCAAAGTTTCTGGTGTTTTGGCTGCAGTATTGTGGCAAGTAGTATTTGGGAACCTGTACCAATAACTTTTTGATAATGAAGTAGTAATTAAAGGAAAAGAAGGAGAATTTTTTTTTTAATCTTCTACTTGTTGTTGTTGTTGTTGTTAAGTTCCATCTAATTGGTTCCCACTCATAGTGATCTTATATAGGTTTTCCAAGGAGCAGCTGGTGAGCTTGAACCACCGACCTTGTGGTTCAAACCAACTTTGCAGTCCAGCACATTAACCCACAGCACCAGAGTCTTCTGCTTAGCTACTAATAATGTAATCAATGTTGAAATATTTTACAAAACAATTTTGTTGTTAGTATTCATATAATCTAAAAAATAGTGCATGTAAGTAATTTACAACTATGTTTATTTATCACATTTTATTCTATGATTAAAATCTATAATAAATGTTACTAAGGATTCTGTATGGTCTGGTATGGGAGGAAGTCACTAGGGGAGGTGACTAGGGAGGGTTACACTATAAATTACCACACCTTTGTAATGCCACTTTGTCTGTGGTCCACTATAGAGCAGGTCATGTATGGAATGTCTCAGCAGATGACACCAAACTTGTTCATTCCTATTGAGAGAGCTCAGACTCATAGGACCCTATCAACAGAATGAAGCATTGCCTAGTTCTGTACTGTTTTCATGATCATTAATATATTTGAGTCTATGTTAAGAGCCTTCCAACCAAGAGGATTCATCTTCCAGCATTATATCAGACAATACTCTATTATGATCCATAGGGTTTTCACTGGCTAAGTTTTAGTAGATCACCAAACCTTTCTTTCTAGCCTGTCTTAGTGTGGAAGCGCCACTGACGCCTATCCACTACTGATGACACTGCTGGTATTTGAAATACTCATGGCGTAGTTTCTAGCACCATAGCAACACACAAGCCACTACAGTATAACAAAGTGACAAACAGGTAGTGAGAGACCAAAGGAAGACAGATAAAAGAAGAAAAACAAGAGACACTACTCTAGCTACTTCTAGCCAAGTGCTTCACCAGTTGTGTTATATTTAATATTACCAGCACTGGTGTGCACAGCTGATGGGGCATGCTTGGTCCATTAGGGTATCTTTAACCAAGTAAAACTGGGGTCGGAGCTAACTGAACTTGAAAGAGCACACTGAAGATGTCCAGAGGCAAAGCACCTGAAGCGTAGTGGTTACGAATCAGGCTTTGAACCTCAAGGTCAGCAGTTCGAAACTCCCTGCTGCTCCATGGGAGAAAGATGAGGCTTTCTGCTCCCGTAAAGATTTACAGCCTTGGAAATCCTGTTCAGGGTCGCTATGGGTCGGAACCAACTCAACAGCACTTAACAACAAGTATTTAGAAAGGCCAAAGTAATAGACAAGAAATAAGCTGAGAAGACAGGTATGGATGGGAGAGAAACCAGCAGAGTAGCAAAGAAACCAGGCTAGTAGCAGAAGAAGCGGATCTGGAAGACTCATGGACTGAAAAGATGGCCATGGCTGAAGACAGGGATAAAGTACTCAAGTTTCTCCTTTTTTGCCAGGTGTAGTGGCAAAAATTACAGTTTAAAGAAATTGCCCAGGAGCTCTGGTAGCATAGTGGTTAAGAATCGGGCTGCGGACCGCAAGGTCAGCAGTTCAAAACTACCAGCTGTTCCCCAGGAGAAAGATGATGCTTTCTGCTCCCGGAAACCCTGTACAGGGTCACTATGAGTCGGAACCGACTCCACGGCACACAACAACAACAACAGACAATATTCATACATTGTTTGTAACTTGTGTCGTATAATGCAGAATCTATGGATCGGCCAGGAGTCCTGTAGAGAGGCATACAGGCAGAACCTTATTAATATTATGAGTAATTAATATTGTTGTTGAGTTGTTAAGTGCCGTCAAGTCAACTCTGACCCATGGCGACCCTGTATAGGGTTTCTAAGGAGCAGCTGGTAAGCTTGAACCACCGACCTTGTAGTTCAAACGACTTTGTAATCTGACACATTAGCCCACAGTGTCACACCAGGACTCCAATTAATATTGTTGTTAAGTGTCATTGAGTCGGTTCCGACCCATGGCGACCCTGTACAGGGTTTCTGAGGCTGTAAATCTTTACGGGAGCAGAAAGCCTCATCTTTCTCCCACGGAGTGGCTGGTAGTTTCAAACTGCTGACCTTGAGGTTTGCAGACTGTTTCATAACCATTACACTACCAGAGCTGATATAAGATATAATATTATAATATGAGATATACTATCAGGATATAAGGAGAAATAAAGGATTTATCTTATATTCTAATATTAATTAAGATAAATCCTTTATTTCTCCTTTCTCTTCACTCTCATTGTACTTACAGTTGGCACCACACCACTTCACTCTGAATAAATATTTATTGGATTTTTTTTTTATCATTATGAGAGTAACTTATGCTCAATGCAAACATCATGTTAAATTTTGTAAAATTGAAAAATGACAATGGTGTGTGTGTGTGTGTGTGTGTGTGTTTGGAGCATGTAGAAGAAGCTGGGTTATTCTTTTATCTATATTCTTTAGAGAAGGTCTATTCAGAGCCTTTCCTATTTTTAAACTGGGTTATTTGTCTTACTGTTTTCTTGTAAGACTTCTTTGCACGTTTGACACTAGATCTTTATCATGATTTACAAATATTTTCTCCCATCCTGCAAGTTGTCTTTCCATCACTTTCTTTATAATAGTGCCCTCTGAAGCACATGTTTCAAATTTTTAAAAAGTTCAATTTATTTATTTGCTTATGTTTTTATAAACATGAATATAGCCACTGAGTCTCCAATCGTCACTGGTTGTTGTGTACCCCAACTTCTTTACAGAACTGGTAGAGAATACATCTCATTGCCTCACAGAGTGTACTGTAAGGTAACAGATGAAAGTCAACAGCCTAAAATGAGTAGACTCCATTAAAATAAGGGTTTCTTAAACAATATGAAGAGGGTGTTATTGTTGGTGTGTGTCATTGAGTTTGTTCCAAAGCTGTAAATCTTTGTGATAGCAGAAAGCTTCATCTTTCTCCCACAGAGCTGCTGGTGGGCTCAAATCATCGACATTGTGGTTTGCAGTCCAGTGTTTATCATACAGAGTCACCATACTTCCTTCTAAAGAGTGTAGTGTGGAGAAAATTGAGGGCAGTAATCCTTAACTTTGGCTGTATGTTGGAATCACTTGAAGAGTTTTAAATGCTGATGCTCAGGTTGGAATGTGATGGAACCCATGTAAGTGATTTGGGGTGAAACCTGGGCATAGGTTTTTAAAGACTCCCCAAG